AATCATCATATAACCGTCGGGAACAGTTAATCTAACGGTTAAAATTCTCGTGCAGAATGGTTTTGTAACGAAACCGTAACATCTCCCCAACTTATAAATTATTCCATAATTATTCAAAAGGTATATTGATAAATGTTTGAAATGAACAACATTCGTACGATTGTTACTTAATGCATCAATTCATGATTGGTTGAACACGTAAATGTGTAACCACAATTGAATATTTGGTTGAGCCACTAGTTTATAGCTTATTTATTCCAAATAATTTCATTTAGTATACTTTAAAAAAAATAAAAATCAATCATTTCATGTATTTTGTCTGAGTTTTGGGTTCTTGTGGGGTCAATTTTCTTTCTTCCTTACTAACTAAGAAAAAAATGCCACGTGGCATCTGCTTTCGATTTTGCAGACTATTCCTTCAGACCTCACCAATGGTAATGGGGTACTGTTTGATTTTTTACGTGGCAATTAAAAAATGTTGGAAAATCATTTCAATAAAAGGGCCCTCCATAAAAAGCCTTTGCAATTTTGGTTTTTAGCCCTTTGGTAAAGTTTTAGTAGCTTACTATAATTTTTAATTTTAATTTTATTTTTATTTTTGAATTTTTTTTTTTTTAACCGTTGAGCTATACAATTTATTCCCTAAGGATTTGCTTTACTTCTTTGTTTGCTATTTTTAACTACCACATCTTAGAGCTTCAAATTAAACCTTGTGAGTTCGGCTTGTTAAGGCTTTAGTTTGGTTCGACTCGTTTGATAAACTGCTCGAGTTTGAGCTCTCTTAAAGCTCGTTTCGTGAATGAATCGAGCTCGACTCGGCTCGAGAAGATAATTTTTATATAATTTTTTTTTATTGTTTGATTGGTTATTTGTTGATATTGACTCGTTAAAGGTTGAATTCGACTCGTTAATATTGATAAACGAGTCGAGCCGAGTTACTCGAGCTTAACTTGATTCATTTAGAGCTCTACCAAATCTATAGAAGGACAAAGTTTAAAAATGGGTGGTGTTTTATAAATAAAATTTATAAACAAAAAAAAAATAAAAAAAAATAAAAATAAAAACATGAATGCTTTTTATTGAAATAGTTGCATGACCATCCATTATCCATAGTCATATAACACATCTGCAATTCCATTGAGCATCAACTTGGGCCCACTTTTACGGGCCGATCCACAATAATTGGGCTTTTCACAGAAGGCTATAAATCCAAATGAGCCAGACCTCTGGGCTCCATGGTTACTTTATTTAAGTTATCCAATAATCTCAGCCTTAAGTGGGAAACATGTCTTTTCAAAAGCATTTTAACTCCAACTCTCTGAACTCCCACTGATTTTGTATTTATATTTAATCGAAACAATTTTTCCTAGATGAGTTCCTAAATCCTAATATCCGAGATGAGGTTTTAGTCTTTATCGAGCAGAGTTGAGTTCGACTCGAATAATCATGAACAAGTTCAAACTCTCATCGTATATTAATATTAACGAGTCAGAACTAAAGCTTTAATTAGCACCGGTCTATAAAACAATTACATGAAATAATAAATCCTTAATTATGAGTGTTAGAGAGCCAAGGGGGGCTCTACACGTTAACTAAACGAGTTATAATGAATTCGAGCTCAGCTCGACTATCATACAAGCCGAGCCAAACTCACGAGCATTTCATTTTGTTTATCAGCTCCACCTAGAGAAGTGTATAGTTAATTATAAATTTATTTTGCATTTAATATAATTTAGTAATTTTCGAAAATTCTAAGCTATTATCTGAATTAATCTAATATGCACTTGGTTTATACTATAAAAGGTGGGTATGGTGGCTTAATAGAATTATGAGTCGGATTACACTTTTTGTGTAGGCACCTTTTTTTTAGAGAATTATTAAAAATATGGAACCGATATGTAATACAATTTACCTATATTAATTTATTGATTATGTTATAAAAATTAAATTGTACAAAATTACATAAAAATATCTATTTGAAATTTGCATACAATCCGTGCGATGCATATAACTGATAATAAATTAAATTATATGTGTTTCAAAGTAAAATTTGCACACAACCCGTGCGGTGCACATAATTATTTTTTTTTACTCATTTTTAATTTCTATTTCAAATAAATATCATTGTCTCTTTATGTGTTAAATTATTAATAGATTTAAGTCTTACCCTAACGTATCTCATTATATTATTGTATTGTTTAATCATAATTATCTATAACTGTAATTTTTTGTTCATATTGTGTCGTGTCAGTTCTGCACAAACTCGCATTCATTCTAAAGTAACCCATTTTTACCATTTTTAATAAAGCTATGTTGGATAAACTTAGTTGTTAAACTAGTTTATATCGTTTATGTTAATTTTGAGCTTATGTCTTATAGTTGAAATTGTAGTTTATATCATAAAAATGTTTGGTAAATTAGCTGATAAGCTAGCTAAAATAAAAATTTCAATGTATTTATTGGAAAAAACTGCCCAACAAATCTTATGAGATAATCTCGAACTTTTTCGAAAAAAGTTCGTCCTACCAAACTAAATTTATTTGAATACATGTAACGTAATAACTAATGAAATAAGTATAACTTAGTTTTTATGCTTATCAAACACAAGCTAATTACATACATGTCTCATGTCTAATTTGGGTCGCTCAATTGAGCTAAACCAATTTCTAGGCCCAAAACAACTATCACAGCTCTGCTCATCAGCCCAACACGACAGCCCAACTTCAGAAGCTAATACAACAAACACGACGTCGTTCAAGATGAAACTCGAATAAAACCCTAGCTAGGTTATAGATATAGTCGCCACTCGCCAGTCTCCTCTACTCTTCTCATCGCCTTCGTTTCCTCGCCGCCTGCTCTCACCTTATCTTCACTTTCCGATGGTACGTCGCCGCCGTGATTGTCAATTTTCAGCTGCACGCAACCGGAATTCGAGTTCCAGATAGATCTGCTGTTTTCAAATTTTTCTTAACTTCATTTTCTTTCTTTTTTTTACAGGCACCGAAGAAGGACAAGGCTCCACCGCCGTCATCCAAACCGGCGAAATCCGGCGGCGGCAAGCAGAAGAAGAAGGTCGGTGCCGTTATAGTTTGATCTTTGTGCTTGCGTTGCTTTACGTAGCTGGTGTGCTTTTTAGTGTTCCGAATGTAATTTTGTGAAAATGCTGAGGCGAACTCGTAATAATTTTGCAGAAGTGGAGCAAGGGAAAGCAAAAGGAGAAGGTGAACAACATGGTGCTTTTTGACAAGGCAACCTACGACAAGTTGCTCTCCGAGGCGCCTAAGTACAAGCTTATCACTCCCTCTGTGCTCTCCGATCGTCTTAGGGTAAATTTTGTTTGTTAGTTGTTGTTTATTGATGATGGTTTCTTATGTTATGTAATTGCATATGTTGTGTGTACTTTCTTATGTATGCCAAGAGTAGTTATATGGTGATGAAGGTGAACTTAGATTTAGTAGTGGAACTAGGGTTTTGATTTTGAGCATATTACATATTCCATGCCTCTTAATTAAGCTTAGTAGTTAGTGGCTAAATGCTGATTATTGAACATCTTGTTATGTACAATGTGTTCGAAGCTTTGAGAACAAGAAGTCGAGATCCGTGCAAGTGCTTCATATTTCCTTAATTAAAAGATTATGTCCTGTTGTATGTTTTTTCTATGTGTTGCTATCTTGTAACCATTATTCGCTTTTTGATGACATTTTATCTTGAGCCCTTTTATTATGTGGCTTCTTAACCACATATTTTACTTAGAATGTTTCTAACTAATCTTTATACGAATGTTTCTTCATATGATTCTGAAAGTGTTTTCATCTTGGCTACATTCTCCCTTTTACGACTTCGCATTTGCAACCCTAGCAGCCTCAAAAGTGATTTGCCCCTTTTTGTTTAAATATGTTTTTGCAGTGATTGTGAAAGTGATGTTTGTCCATCTTTTACTAATATTTAATCTATAATATATGATTTGCAGATCAGTGGATCTTTAGCTAGGAAAGCGATTAGGGAATTGATGGCTAGAGGTCTAATCAGAATGGTATCGGCTCATTCGAGCCAGCAAATCTACACCAGGGCCACTAACACCTAGGTGTTACATTTTATTGTATTACAAAGCCTGAAATGTTCTTTCTTTTTTGTTTTTCTTAAGTCTGGCTGAAGACCCGTAATTTTATTTGCCAAAAGATGTTAGACTTGAGGTGCCAATTTCTGTTGTGCTACGGTAGTATTTTGATTGAGTTGTTATCAGCGTATGAATTTCTTATAATGGTGCTTTGAAGCGGTTTTAATTGCGTGACATTATACCAACTTGATTCATAACTGTTTCAGCTTTTTAGCATGTTGAGCTGTATTATAAACTGTGTTAAACTAGATGCAGTTGTGTTTGATACAAATGTGTAGATTGTTGACTTTAATTCATGTTTTTAGATGCAATGGTGGGAAATTTGATTTGATTGTGTATTGTAATTTAGACCAGTTTAACTGCAGGGTCTAACCGTGAGACCTTGGGGAGGGTACTGATTGATGTGGTATGGCCTAATTTGCGTAAGTTTGGGGAGCCGACAAAATGGTAATATATTAAAAGTATGGTTAGGTAGATGTATCTTGCAGAGCTATTGTAACAAGTCTACAAAAAGTGATTATTTTCGATTATTTTCATTTGTTTTGTATGTGACATGTTGCCCCTTTGAATCCTCTACTTCGGTTAGTAGTATTGCCTTATTTGCCTTGTGGAGTTGTGTGAATTGATAACGTCTCAAGCTACTCTTTAAGCTCGGAGTTATGTGAATTGAGAACATCTCAAGCTACTCTTTAAGCTCAGAAGTTCGGGATATTGTTGTTTCATAACATTATGATATGGATTCTTTTGGGAGTTAAAATTATAGTTTGAGTTTGTGATTTGACAAAAAATTATCGAATTTGAGTTCCAAGGTCGAGAATCGAAGTTAAACTTGAATTTGCCGCTTGTGTACTAGGTTTAGATTAAAGCCTAGGTGTTATGAACTTGAGCTTTGCCACATGCTTACTAGGTTCATATTAAAGCATA